TTTTTCAGTGTGATCAGTTTTGCCACCGTTGCATTCGGTGATAAATTCCTGACGGCCGATGACCCTGTGCTATTGGCCGGAATGATCTGTCATGTGGTTTGGGGTATGATCTTGATGACCATAATGTTCTCAGTTCTCTATCTGTTTACAGCCGCTATGTCCCACATCTCTATCGGTCTACAGATTGCAACCGAATTACATCGGTCGCAAACTAGTGATCAACTTCTTGAACTGTTATTAGTCAATCCGTTGCTGAAAACTGTCACTGTTTCTGAATAAGATATTTGACGGATATTTGACGTAAATTGAATCTTAGAATTTTACTTCACAAATCAAAACAAACCTTACTATCTAGTATTTCGTGATATGGCCTCAATGGACATGAATCAATCGATTAATATGGTCACATAATTTCAATGAAATACTCGTCGTATATCTATAACACTTCATGAATGTCTATAACACTACCTACACGATACCAATAAACAATAAATTAACGCCAAACCCCATCAGAACAATCATCAGTCTCATACTCTATAATGGTATATTAGGCCGTTGAACAATAACCAAACCCAACCACAACCAAACCTCACCGCATCGTACCCACCTACAACCCAACCAACCACATTATTACAGATGAATTTGTAAAGTGAACCTGACCAATGTTTTACAGTCACTTATCGGTTCATTGTCATTTGATCTTCGTACACAAATTCAACATTTTTTATCATCATTATTATCACGTGAACGCACACTTTGTACTTATTGTATAACCATTTACAAATCTTCCGATCACTCACTTTATAACAATTATTTGCATCTTTATCTCCTCTAAGGTATCAAATACTATCTCATAATCACAACGAATGTTCCAGAACATTTCACTGCGCGAAACAAACTAACAATAAATTTTATGTAAAGAGTATCGTTTAAAAAAACACATTTTTGCTTAACGATGATTCCGCTTTCGTCCATTTCTTGCTCTTATTTTACTGATTTATCTTCTTTATTCTTTGTCAGAAGGAGAAAACGATAGAATATTAATTAGTATTAAACAAAATGCGTTGTACATCAATGCATAAAAACACACAATCTTATTAATTACATTAAATTTTCATAAACGATAAACGAACGGAAAATCTTATTATTTTCATAATCTCTACTAAAAATCACTCCTATAGCAAAACACTTTGTAAATACAATATAATACCAATAAGCAATCACAATATATCAACTCTGTAAATGCATAACAACAAAAATTAAAATCCGCTGCATTACCCTTCAAATTAGATCGCCGAAACCTGAAAATAAATAACGTTTCATAAAGTGCAATCGTATCGAAACGATATTATAAAACGACAATTCCGAATCGCATTCTCATTGAACGATCAACTACACAATTCGGATACATTCTCTGATTCATAATCGAACTCACTTATTTCTGTATCAACGTTGAAATCGTCCTACGCACTCAAAACAGTCTCAGTCAAATCTTCAAGCCACCCAACCCATATGATAAGAAGTCTACAATTATTCTGCAATAATTTATTTACGCCAATGTCGCATTAAATCACTTAACTGACAAAATATTAACTTATTTGAAGTTGCGCACAGATCGGCACGAGCTTTCTGAACTGCCGACTTGAACAGCTACATTATTAATATTACTGTTTTTACTATCGCAGCAGGTCCCTTTGGGTATGGTTATCAACCTATGGTAATCATACATATATACAAACGTACTACACAAAAATAATTTGCATGTTATAAATACTATATAAGAAGAATAACATGTGTTAAATTCATTGTTTATTTATTTACTAATTGAGATTAGTTGAGTGGATTGATTCAAGCATTGTACAACAAGGGGTTGTCGTCGTCGTGGAATGTCGCTTATATTGATTTTATTATTTATTGCCATTTTAGTTGGTGGTTATTTTGTTGTTAAGGTATTATTATTATTAATATTATCATTAGTATCATTGTAGTTACGAAATAATTTTGTTTATTATAAATGAATTTAAGAGGAGAATAAAGAATGGATTTGCAGAAACAACAAAAAGCATTGAAGGAGAAAGGGGCAGAAGGAGGAGTTCAAGAACAAGTAAGTTCAAACTGTTTGAAGTAGGGTGACAGTATTTGAGCACTAAAAATAGGGTGACAGTGTTTGATGAGTGCGACCGGTGATCTGTTGATTAAAAGTGATTATTAGAAGCAGGATGAATCGGGTGGTGCGAAGGAAGCGGTGAAGCAAGAGGCACAACAACAACAACAAGCAACCGATAACAAAGAGAAAAATGCAGCTCCTACTTCAGCCTCACCACCTCCCACATCTGCACCTACACCCATTGCATCGCAACCACCAACTGGTGAACCAACACCAACGCCTACACCCATTCCACCGCCACCACCGACTGTTGATTCAACTAACTTAGACACCAATACACCAACATCGATTCCACCGCAACCTGAACCAACAAACCTGGACACTAACACGCCAACACATGCAACTACACCCATTTCACCTACTGCTGACCCAACAAATCCAGACACTAGTAACACTAATATACCAACAATTGCTGACAGCAACAATAGCAACGCTCCTCCTGCTGATAACATAATTGACCCTTTGAGATCGAACGATATCAAAGATGCCTCTATTGACACAGGGTTCGTTTCTGTCAACATTGATTATATTACAATTCTTCATAACACACCATAACGATTTATGGTTTTAGATCCAAGGGCAAAAAAAAGAGAAGTAACAGGAAAAAGAGTAGTAAAAGTAAAGGTCAGTTGAGTAGAAAGTGCTTATGTAACGATCTGTTTTGATATTAACTCATTATTATTATTGTTATTATTATTACTCTTATTACTATCATAATCAGA